AGCTGCTTTGCATACATAATAATATAAATCATTTTCGAAACTAATATGTTTGTTATAATTCTTAAAAAGGAGATAGGATTACATTAAGGGTAGTTAATAGATAAATTGTATGCTACCTTTTGTAGCATTTAAACTTCCGAAGTATGGGGCGCTTCTAATGTAATTGACAATTCCTCTAGTTTTCAAGAATAAGTGCAACCATCGAGAACGTTACTTAAGGAAAATGATAGGAAGATTGATTGAAATATGACATTGTAACTTTAATATCTATCGCAACCGTAGGATTCAAAATTTCCATAAATGATACCTGACGCTTCAACCGGTTAATAACGCGCCTTAACGCAACCCCATCGTCTTCTTTCTCTTTCTCCCTCATCTATTATTCAATTCATTGAAAGTGGTTCAACGGCAAGAAGATCCAGTTTTGCTTCTCGTAACCGTTGAAGCTCCCTACTTAACGTATCCGAACCGATCTCGCATGATTTACGATTCTTCATCTCTCTTTTTCTTAAATACAGGATTTTTGTGTATATGTGCGCGAAGGATACGATTGAAATACATGAAGATAAGATAAAATAGATAAATCATGCAATTCATCTTTCCTACAATCTTATGCCAATCTGATACAAAGAGTGGCAGCGCCCGCGTAATCGTTGGAACAGTGAATGAAGTCCAATGGAGTTCAAAACACAGTGGGTAGCATTTGTAGCTGACAACATCAAAGAGCAGGACGAAGAAAAAGTTTTTGCAATAAACAATTTTATTTATTAATTAATTATTGACGCTAGGGAAAAATTTTTTATACAGAAGTTATAGGCATTGACGTCCTCTACAAGAAATGTTCTATGCATTTTTCTTCTAACTCCAGTATTTAACGAGTTAAATACGATACATCGGCATTTTATAGGTACTGACAAAATCCGGTCGCCGAAAAAGCAAACTTTTAACAAACAAAATTCAGTTTTCTTCAAATACTCCTAAACCGTTGGACCTACAGGATAAGTGCATATGATCTTATTTATAGATAACGACTAGAGCTACAAGTTTTGTATGAAACATTTTTCGCTATCATCGATAGTTATCGAGTATTTTACAAAAAAACAAAAAAACAATTTATTGCAAAGTACTCGTTAACTATTGATGATAGAAAAAAAATGTTTTATATGAAACTTGTAGCTTCCGACCGTGCCTGCAATTTTTGTTTCAGTTTTCGCTAGCAGCAATAGGTAAGCACTTATTTGCAATAAACGAGAATTTTGCAAAATCTGAAGAAGGGGTACGCTTCAAATAAAAGTTGTAGGTAGTGCTATTACTTGCAAGGAAATTACTCTTTAAGGAGTAGAGTTACAAGAAAAGTGCATAGGATCTTTTTTGTGTCTGAAAACTACGGCTACAATTTTTGTCGGAAGCATTTTTTGTAAGGATGAAAAGAACATTTTGCAATGTACATTTTTCTTGATTACTCTACCACAATTTCTCCTCAGTTCTGATACTTGAAATTTTCATTGCTAAGTGGGATTTATATTATTCAAAAATATTTAATATACGCTTGATTAAATTTTACTCAGGTGCAGTCATTCTAAAGTACCTGCAACTAATTACAATAATAAAACCGCGGATTTTATGCAATTATAAGAAAATTGAATATGCAGAACGATAAATGCCGCGTGTAATGTACAAGACGATTCAGAATATCAGAATTTGTATACATGTTCCAATATAAATAAAACTGAATGCGCTATTATTAATTTTTATTATTTTAAAATATTTCTAATCGCTAAATATTCGTTATCGACACGTGAACGCCAGTCCGAACGTCTGCATTATCAGCTGCAATTCTTTTACCGCTATACGATTAATACCCACAAAGCTACTGGGAACTGCTTTGCCTACCAAATCAACATCTGTAGCGACGACTCGACTACGTCCACCATATTTATTTCTTCAGTGTATTTCCTATTTCAGCTGTAACAAGTTAAATCTAGACAAATCATCACTGAAAATCGTGTTCTTAATGCGTTTAAACGCTAAACTGTTGGCTAGTGTCGTCGTCAGTTCAAAGTGTGTCAAGGATTTAACATAAATAGACGAATAGTAGCTAAAGTTGCCAGCTGGGAGTGTGGCAGCTCCTGTAATCCAGCGACTTGGAAGCTGGTTATGACGGAGGGTCTGAGAGCGGGGACTCCTGTTGGTGCGGGACTCACGTCGACTGGGCGTCCGCGCTAAGCTCGCTATCAATATGGCCATCCTGGAGGAATCCTGGGATGGCCAGGTTGGCTAAGGAGAGGCGAACCGGGCCAGAGGGGAAACCCAGCAGCCAAAAGTCTCCGTGGCGAGCAGTAGTGGGATCGCGCCCGGGAGTGGGACCGCACTGATAGCCTGCTTAATATGACTCGACGCATAACTTTTTTTACTTTTTTTAAACATTCCTTAAATTATTCTGACCAACCTTGTGTAGTTTTTATATTTTTTATCTCATCCCCTGATTTTTATAATAAAAACTTACGTTCTCCTCTACCGCACGTACATACTGAGTTTCTAACTGCTCAGACTCTCAATTAAATAAAAGTAAATGTTTTAATTTCCTTTCACGTCCCAATTTCGATTCACTCGCTTCATTTTCTATACTTTTATAACATAAAATCAAAGAAAAGCATGTCAGTGATTAGAAATTGGTACATTTGTCTTAATTTTCGAGGATTGACTTATTTGTTGGAGGAATTAAGAAATCAGAGAAGAGTATGCATTTTATATAGAAAATCTTGTTTATTTTTATAATCACTCTATGCTTTCTGATATCTGCCTATTGTTATCTTTAAAATACAATATGCAGTATAACAGGACATCGAATGTAAGGATCAAAAGCTATTAAAAAAATTCAGAGTTTTTAAATAATACATATTATTGAACAAGATAATATAAGAGGAGATGCATGATACACATATACTTATTTTCTACAACTTTTGTTTCTCTTTCTTCGCTTGTTCAGCAAGCGCTTCTACACGATCGTGCTCCGCGATTAATGCGTCGACCTCAGCCATGGGAAGGATTCTCGTGATGGTTTTGCCATTTTCTCTTGTTAGCGTAACCATCTCCACTGTAATGAAACCAGAAATAATGAAGTACTAGCTCTTTTATCCATAAAATTCTGATAGACTAGACTGACACGTACCCTTGTCTCCTGACAATTTATTCAGATCCAAAGTCTTGGACAGCACTTTTATAGCTAACGCTTTGGCTTCCTTTAACGTAATATTATTATTATCATATTCCTGTTTCAAAGATGATACGGCAGCAGCAGAATTATGTCCAATACAAGTGGCTTTCCAACCGCCGTAGTTCCCGCTTGGATCCGATTGATACAATTGGTATCCGTAATGTTTATCCCATCCCATGTACAGGATAGAAACGCCAAAGGGCCTCTTGCCACCATACTGCGTATATGCTTGTTTAAGATCGCACAGCCAAGAAACGAGTTGTTCGCAAGGAATTGGTTCTCCGTATTGCAACAAATAACGTTGCGCGATTAAACGCAATTCGTTTGTTAATACGTTAGCATCGGAAGTAATACCGGCGACAGAACACATGATATCGTCGTTCAGTTTGTAAATTTTCTCAGAATAGTAAACTTCATCCAACAGTTTATTGGTGTTACGTCTTTCTGCTACAAGTAGGATGCCATCGGTTGCTAAAATGCCGAGGCAAGTGCCTGCATGACTTATAGCTTCCATAGCATATTCCACTTGATAAAGCCGACCCTCCGGTGAGAAGATTGTTGTACGGGTGTCATATCTACGTGCCTGTTAACAAATAAGGAGACTATAAGATAAAACCAAAAATATGGTCGCCAATCCATCAAAAATACTGATATAAAATTTCCGAATTTATGAGAAACGATCGATAATTTGGAATAGGTCATTTTTCTAAACGTGAGGTCAACAACAAACTTTTCGAAATCCAGGACAGACATTCACCTTTTTATACAAATAAAATAATAAGCGATACATGGAAGATTTAAGAAATATCTGAATGGATACGATGAAACATACAATATTATTATATTGCTCTTATTTAATAATATGTATTATTTGCGAATGACAATGCACTTTGTGTAACCTCTCAATCGTAATTTTGGTAGCAGTACAGTTAAGGAATTAATGATAATCGTAATAATAATGTTAAATTAATGCCTTTTGATACTTACCATTGTGACGAATTTTTTTTTATAAGAATATTATAACGTTGTAACAGGTGAAATTGGAAAAAGATCGTGCTACCAACCAAATTTGTATTAGTCGGCGTTCTGTAGCAACAAAACCAGTGATCTATACAGAGAACGTTAAAGCAGACTTTCAATAAAATAATTGATATTGAATAAAAGTGTAAAAAAATTATATTAGCTTCCTCTTACATTAATAAATCATTTTACAGAAAAGTAAGAGAGAGAAACGGATAATGAATTAGTTTATTCTTTACGAAAGATTCTTGCTTTGCAAACGTACCAGGCCAGATGACTTTCTGTTCTCGGGTACAGAGTATTCGATCTTGAATGCATGCAATTTGAGCTACACCACCACTATCTCGTAAGAAAGGCACACGACACGCTTTCCTCGCGCAGTATGGCCCGCTTGATTCTAGTCGTGATCTGTTCGACCACGTTAGTTCGAGAAGGTTTTCTTTCATTTACGGAGGGATTCGTTTGCAAATAATTAAAAATTTCGTCATGGATGACGAATGGGGTGAGTCCGGATTGATTTACCGACATTTGGTTGTTATGTGATCGCGTCACGAGCCATTGACTACGAAACCATTTTAACCTTAAAATTTTACAGATGTCGAAAACGCTGAAGCGAAATTCGATCTCGCCATCAGATCCAACAAGTGGGAGGGCGAGGACGAAGAGGAAGAAGTCAAGGTTTCTATCATTTATTTATTGTCTTTCTATTTTAACGTCGCACCTATGATTTTTCGAATTGCTACTGATAGAAGTATGGTTAACCTTTTCTCTTATCGAAGTCAACACGAGACATTATTCTTCCGGCAACGTGAATTTTATTTTCGAGTCGAAAAATTGTAATTCATTTAGAATGATATTTTATATTGCGATTTCGTCTTGTACATTGCAGTATTAAATTGTCACATTGCATGAAATTTTAATTTCTGCAATGCTGAACAGTTCTACTTTTATTAGCTTGTAAATCAGATTGTATATAAAACTACTGATATCGTGAAGTAATTATTTAAAATATTAAATTTGATGATCGGACAGAAATTGGCAAGTTCATTGGAAACAGTAAATTTAAATGTTTTATGTTGTCCAAATAACTTGAATATAAATCAATCAACAGGACAGTTGGGAGGATGTGGAAGAAGAAAAGAAAGATGTAGAAAAACCTGCAGAAGTGCCTAAGGCTAAGCCAAAGCCAAAAAAGGCTTTGGCAGAAAGGATTGAAGAACGTGAGGTATGATCCTTAATTCAATATTTTAACCATCCAATTCGGAAATAAAACATTTCATTTATTCTCTTTAATACTATATGAATTCGAAGTAAACGAAATATGACTACACAGTATATTTTATTAACATATTAGTGTTGTCGAAATTCATCCATGTTTCTTTACTTTTCATCATCAGATACCGTCATTTGTATGACCACTTCTTATAACAATATTTGCATTTGTTTTAATTATAGAAAAAGGCAAGAGAAGAAGCAGAAAGAAAAGCTAAGGAAAAGGAGGAATCGTTGTCACCGGAGGAGAGGAGAGCAGAACAATTAAGGCGACAGAGGCTTCAAGAGGAAGCCGACCTACGTCTTGCCATGGAGACTTTCGGTTTGTCCAACCTTGTTGATTTTTCTCATCGCAAGCAGCACAAAACCGAGAAGAAATGACTTCACTAATATCTTTTACCCATCAACTCTTTGCGCTCCTATTTATTATTTAGCAATAGGAATTTTACATAATTTATAAAAACTGTGTAGTCGTTTTGTTAACGTTTCAATGATAGATCTTAATAATAATGTTATCTTCGCTGGAGAAAAAGTATTAAAAATTAGTATTTTACTTGCAAGGGATTGAGAAGTATAAATAATTCCCTTTCTAAGTATTTCGTTTTTTCTACTATAAACTATTATTTTATTTTTCATACGCGAGATCGACGTGAATTTAAACTTCTGATCTCGAGCTCTAGTTTAATCGACAGTCGATTCTTCGAATTGTTTAAAATTATGAGATCTACAATTTGAAATATAGGATTTTTGTAACTATAATTTAAGAGGTAGGACGTTCGATAACTGGATCGCAAAGGGTTGATTAAATACATAAATATATATGCCTTAAAGCAAATTTTTGATAGCTTAATTATTTTTTAAAAGCTTTATCTTTCATAAACTAATATATACCCATATAACGTACATATTTGTCAGTATCGAGTACTATTGGTGTAAAAATCGAAATAATTACTATGTAATTTTTAAAGTACATTCCATTTATGAAAATAACTATATATAATATACATACGCAACATTGAATTTCTAACAATTTTCTCGTTTTTGAAAAGTCAATATGAAATATTTTTTTATGCGAATTAGAGTTATAATGGAATAGCTATAAAGTTCATGCAAACGTTTGGATATCATTAATAGAGATGAAAGTATCCTATTTATAATTTCACTCTTATACTGCTGTAAGAATAAAAATAATCATTCGGTGGTATATCGTACTATATACTCTACTGCCATCGATGGAGTCGCTTGTCAAATATTCGAATTTTTTATCTAATCGTATTTAATTGAATTGGAAAGGAGAGAATTACGTTATCAGGAACTGTACCAGAGATGTAAAAATATGTATTTAAATTAATTAGTATAATTTTCTCGAGAAAATTACAAAATTGTTATTGTATCCAAAAATAAACATTTCTCTTTCACGAAAAAATAAAGCAGATGTGTCTTATTTATCAACATTGATCTCCCGTACCGTTTCTGATGAATAGTCGATAACAGAATGAACATATATCTTAATACTTCACATATAAAATCTTAATATTGAATTTAAATGCATGTAAGAAATATAATCAAATAATGTGTAGAGACATCATCTATCTATAATTAGTGCTTATAATTATGTACAATAACAATTTTAGTAAAAAGTGAAATTTAACAGATATTATAGTTTCACGTCTATTTTGCTTTAGGTGTGTGGGAAGAACAGACAGGTGTGTTGAGCCTGGATGCCACGGTGCCTAGCACGAAAGAAGAATTTGAACAGTATGGAAGTGTACTTACACAGAAGTTAAACGAACTCGCTAAAAATTCTGAATTCCCTCCGTTCGGTGAAGAAATAATTAAAAATGTTGCTCTCAATTGTAAGTACATCATAAAATTATGCCTGAAAGAAAACTATCTAAAGAAAGTCGCAACGGGACCTGAAAGCTTGATGCAACAGGAGCGCTGCCTCTATTTCATTAGAAATTGAAGATGTATTGATATCGTTTGCAGTATCCTCGACGCATTTGAAGAAAGTTAAAACGATGATCGATAATTTGTTTATCGAGAAGCAGAAGATCGAGAAGGGTGACAAGACGAAAAAGAACAAGGGCAAAGGAAAAGCGAAATTGAAAATCGAGGGTGATAATACTCTCCTGAGGGAATACGGCGACTACGTTTACGACGAGTGTGACGATTTCATGTAGCGACCTTTTCATCCCACATTCTCACCTCTTGTTCCCTTTTCTAGTCGCCTAAATACACGCAGATGGTTATTAACATTTTTTGCAAATTTTATAATCCCGTATTCACTCTCTTTACATTCAAATTTCTCCCCAGTTTCTTTATTCTTTTTTTCGAACATTGGTTTCAGGTTTCAATTTTAAATATTCTATCTTTTTTTTAATTTCATATTATATACTTGTATACATATGATTATACATATATATAGATATGTATATGCTGAAGAATGTGGTATGCATCTAAGAGATGTAAAATAATTTTAACACGAAGTGTTAACGTGTTTTAAATACAATTGAAACGAAAGAGCTATGTATTAATACACTTACCCATGTGAGAAAAGGTGTCAACAGTTTCCAACAAATTTAGTCACATTTATCATGTATTAACTTATTATCTAATTGTTAATTATCGTCAACCGTAAGCCGATCTAGAGAAAAGAGGATATATTAGAATGACGAATTATAAGGCGACTAACAACGACGTTGAAGCACGAGTGTTACGAACTAACCGAACGAACCAAAAGAAATCGGCGTGCACCAAGCTAACTTGTTGATTCTATCCCCATCCCCTGGAACAAATATCATGCGCGTGCGTTAAGGGACTACATCCACTTAGGAAGATAACAAATAGCTCAAGTGAGAACTAATTTTCATCTATTTCAATTTCATACTTAACCGATGGGTGTCTGGAAGTAACAGAGATATAACAGATACGAAGGAGGTTGATTCTCGTTCGTATACCTAAGTAGATGTAACCGCTTAATATTATCATCTTAAGGAACTATATATATAGTACGTAAACAGTTCCTTGTCATTTTGTATTAACAAATATGCACGTATGGTTTTGTGATTGCTATTCTTTACATAATATATGGTACTGTTTAAATAACATCTTGTACGAAAGCAAATGTACCTTTGAATAATTTATTGAAATCCTTTTCGTTCTCTAAAAATATGTAAGATAATATTAATCGAAGCTCACGCTGTACACACGTATAGTTGAATAATATTTTTTATTAAGCTTCTCGTTACATGGATAGAAGATATGCATAGTGAAATGAAAGTATTACATCTGTATATATATATTTAATAGCTTAAAAACTCTGTTCGAAGATGGACGAAGTTTCTCATAGAATTTCTTACGTTTACCGCAGTAAAACTAAGAGAATAATGACTATTTTACTATTATCAGTTAAGAGCATTGTTCTTTTGTTTTATTTTACTAATAAATTTTACTTGTTAATAAACTTCTTGTTCTATGTTTATAAGTCGAATAAACGTCGCAGCAGGTATCGTATTGCATTAGATCTGCATAATTTTCATTTATAAACTAATCTTCATTACTATAGCTTATTTTTCTTAGTTTTATTGCAATAATTTATAACAGCATATTTATATCATGTAATAATTATTGATTTTTGTTTGCATTGCAGTAAACAGTTCACTTTGTTGCAGTCATACTCATTAATTTGATTGCAATAAAGAATATTTTCTAGTTTATGCAAAGCATTTTTAATTGGCAAAATGGCACATTTTGATAGTTTCGATTACATTAAACTAAAAGTAACATCCTTAGAAATTAATCGAAACGAAAACTGTGAAGAAACTTGTAGTAAATTCAAAGACTCTGAAATAGATTTTATCCTAAAAGCTCATAGAATGCATACTTTTCAACTGGACTTTCCAATGGTAATGAGAAGGAAAAGTAGATTTCCTTAAAATCATTTGAAATCAGTATACAGA